CATGTGTGCAGCTATCGAAATGGCCTCAAGCGTGATAAAAGCGTAGCATGTAGTCGTGTTTTACATGACACGCTTGCCGATATTAATGTTGTTTGGAATGTAATTTACCTTCGCTGTCCATTCACATTCGCGTAATAGCGAATTTGGTGTATGTGAAGCTAGCGAAAAGGCAGCGAGCGCCACATGAGCGTGGTATTTTGTGTTCTGACATGACGCGCGTGTCATGATTATCAAGTTTGCACAAGTCAGATACCTTCGCCATTCATTGACGTCACGTAGTACCAAAATTGGTAAATGTGAAGCTAGCGATTGGTACATGTGAATTTGTACATGTGAAGTAAATTGGTACATGTGAAGCTAGCGTATCATGTGTGCGTCTATTCAAGTGGTTAGATGACACGCATGCCATGACTTCATGTTAGAGTCGGTGGCTTGTGTTCGCAATGCAGGCATGTCATACCATACCAGTTTTGCAACATGGCATGTGAAAGAAACCACCGCAAGAGCTGAAAGACCATGAAATGTAAAAATTGACAATCATCACATACATTTCGTGAGTCACTTACGCCCGTCATACAGTCATGTTATGCCATAATAATTTTGGTATCGATACCATTATAGCAACGGCCAGAACAACTACAGGTCATAGGTGGCTAGACAGATAGATAGATAGATAGATAGATAGATAGATAGATAGATAGATAGATAGATAGATAGATAGATAGATAGATAGATAGATAGATAGATAGATAGATAGATAGATAGATAGATAGATAGACAGATAGATAGATAGATAGATAGATAGATAGATAGATAGATAGATAGATAGATAGATAGATAGATAGATAGATAGATACGCTTAAAGTCACCGAAGTTTGATAAAAATTCTTTGCATCTAAAAACTTGCAGCGTGCGCGATAGGCAATAGCAGACGGTGGGCCTCTGCATTCAATCCGTGACTTCTATATCTCTCATAGCCCATTAGTAGCCATTGGCATGTTTCGCCAGCTTGCGCCTCCATGGGTTTCTCTCCCGCGTATTGCTGCGAGGATCGCCAGCGTCAACACCGCTGGCAGTGTCAGGGTTTGCGCCAGCACAAGCTCAACGACATAAACTATCTTTGGCTCAAGCAACACATCTCTCCGCTGTTTCGCATCCACACATCGTTTCCTTTAGTGGACGATAGTGTCATTTTTTTGTACTACTTTCTTCAATTAAGGAGAACGGTAAGATGTCCCGAGTTCTTCTTAGATTGATTGATACGTGGGGTTTAACGTCCCAAAACCACTATATGATTATGAGAGACGCCGTAGTGAAGGGCTCCGGTAAATTTAGACCCCCTGGGGTTCTTTAACGTGCACCCAAATCTGAGCACACGGGCCTACAACGTTTCCACCTCCATCGGAAATGCAGCCGCCGCAGCCGGGATTCGAGCCCACGCCCTGCGGGTCAGCAGCCGAGTACCTTAGCCACTAGACCATCGCGGCGGGGCGAGTTCTTCGAAGAGCTTTAAATTGCTGCTGATAGAACCAATGTAGAAAGAGGCCTCTGAGACTAGTCGTTTACTTATAAGGACAGTAAAGGTTTATGTTAAGCTGGTGTTGATTGCTGAAATAGTGGTCTAGACACCTATTTGTGCTACTTTTGTGCCAAGAAGGTGTTTATTTTAAAACCAAATTGCGATTAATGGTCCGCAGCGCGTTCGCACACTTCAGATTACCCGCCTCGAGTAGAACCTTTCAGGTCACTGCTGCCGTTCACAACGTTCCCGACTTTACTGCGTGACCGTTACGCTATCAGCAGTAGAACGAAAGTAGTGAGAGCCACAGCAGCAAAGGAGGCCATTGGACAATTTTCTGCCATGGCCTTCGGAATGACGGGCGTGCTTGGTTCATTTGGGGCTCGCTAGATTGCATGACCTGTCCAGTTTAACCAAGCGAAAATTGAACTTTAGAGCTTCTCGTGCCATTTCTTATAGTAACATCATGCGTTTTTTTTCGATGAATCAAAAAGAAACAAACAGGCAGCATTTTATTACGTCCCTTGAATGCACGAAAGGTTCTTTAATTAGAGCAGCTGGTTCTTTTAGTAGTAAATAATTGTGGGCGGTAATTCTAACGTCGTCGGAATTATTTTGCGAATGTCATACATCTGTTCTTGTGCAGTTACATTAATGGCTCGGTAAGTACGGCACTACTGTTGTAAATATTATACTTTTGATTGATTGATTGATATGTGGGGTTTAACGTCCCAAAACCACTATATGGTTATGAGAGACGCCGTAGTGGAGGGCTCCGGAAATTTAGACCACCTGGGGTTCTTTAACGTGCACCCAAATCTGAGCACACGGGCCTACAACATTTCCGCCTCCATCGGAAATGCAGCCGCCGCAGCCGGGATACGAACCCAATTTTATACTTTTAAACGTTGTTATACTTTGAGCTTTTACTTCAACCTAAATTGTTATTTGAACTTTTTTATTTGAGCTTTTTGTTCTTTTGTTTTGTGCCCTTGCCAGATTTATATAGGAGCTGTCAATTGTGAAAATGATTTATTGCCATGTTTCTGTGTTTACTCTTTCTGCTGTCACTGCAAGTAGCGCCTGAACGTATATACCTTTTGTTTCCAAATAAAGCCTGATTGAAAGCTAATTAATGCTTGCCTGCATCCACCCTTGTCACTTATTTATTTATTTATTTATTTGAAATACCTTTCATGGCAACATGGGCATTGAGTAAGGGGGGCTTTACAAAAAAATTTTATACACCAAAGGTATAAACCCAAATTCACCTGAAGAAGCAAAATATGTTATGAAAGATTAGAACAATGTTAAACAGATACGATCAAAATTCTACAAAGGGCAAATGATACAAGAACCAGCAGAAAGGGTAACAATAAAAAGTGAAACACACGTTGTGTTGTATATTATAAGGTGTAATAAAATACCAACAGTAATACAAGTGATTCAAGGAATACTTTTCACGAAAAAAAAAGGGGGGGGGGGGAGATGAAGACTACAATTTGTTACCCATTGCACATGACACTGCGCAAACACCCGAACAAAAGCACTGATTATTACGTGCGACATCTTAGGCAGAACGTGGTCTTCCGGAGATATGCACGTTGAGAGATTGCCTGAATTTTGCCGAGTTAGTTTCTCCCACTATATTATCAGGTAAGCGTTTCCATTGGCATATGGCTCGCGGAATGGCGGAATAGTTGAAGGCGTCATTAGAACCGTAAAGTCGCGTGAAACTTAGATTATTATGTATTCTACGAGATCTGTGTGTTGTTGCCTCTACGCCATTACAACAACTGATTAGGGAGTACCAACGATCCCGATCTGCCACACTTCTGAGTTATACTTCTAACAATACTACCGCCAGCAGCAACAATGAAAATCAAGCTAGTGTCATTCAAAACAGTCTACATAGGCAAACCGGGTAACAAAGGCACCCACAAGAGAGCTCAACGACTCGTACGCCGTGTGGTGGTGCATCTTTGGACCACGACAGACAAGCAATTTAACCAATCTTCACCTTTCACGAAGTCACGCAGCACTACATGCTGACAAAGCAAACAAAACCACCGCCGCACCCAAATAAACAACGTTGGACGATTCTCTTGGGGTGATTTAAAACCAACCCATTCTCTTCCCAGTATATCTATCGACAATTCTACCAAGCCCTCTTCACATATACTTGTACACTTTGCATTACACATATTGTGACCCTGGACCACATCATCTGTGGATGCACAAACGAAGCACCCCAGAATAGTGACCGTCAATTCTTCTACTCCACACAAGTTCGTGAAATTTTAGAAGAACGTAATACTACAACCAGTGTGAAGAAATTAGTTAAGATGAACTTCTTTACGTGTAAGGAGTCATAATTGTATTTTTACTACAAATATTTCTTTTGTGTCTTTTGTACATCACATGAAAATTGCTCTTTTTTTTAAAGGTATTTCTTTGTGGTACTTAGTAGTTCTGTCAGAAATTTTGCATGGTTTCAGTTTTTATATATATTTTTTATCTTCCTAGTGCAAATTTAGGATTACTGTAATGCGTTATTTTAAAATGTATGTTTCGACTTTGGTATACTTTTCTGAATTTGAATTTTGTGTCCCCTCATTCAAAGGAAAGAATGAAATTTGTGTCGTTGTTCCACTTCACCTGAGCAAATGTATGGGTGGAGGGACCTTAGTCAGGCAGAGGTAACCTGCCTTTAGTCCCTCCAATCTAGGAAATTTTTTTTTGTCTGAACAAACCATGAATAAACTGTGAATGAATAAATGAATGAATGAATGAAAACGGCGCCTGGAAGAGAACCCTCCCGACTACAAGCTAGGATGGTGAGCTCTGGGCCATCAAACGCCTTGACAAGGTGGTGGCCAGGCATGAGCTGACAGGCATCTCCATTTTGGAAAATACCCGCTTTCCAAAAAAGTTGTCACTACCACTGCTCTCCAAACACGCGCAGCAATACAAAACTATGATGGGTGCATCCGTGAAGATACTAAATGCCGCATTATATGATGCAACCATCACATTATGAGGAACAACATCGCCAACTACTCGCAGGACTAAATTCTTCTAACATCGTAAACATGAAGTCACTTGACCTAACTAACGTAAACACGCATTAAAATATAGGTTAAAATCACAGAACACCTAGCCACGTGATTATAGTTTTCCAAATATGACGTAAAAATCAATCACCTGACTGAAAATCACGTAACTACTCTGGCAAAAAAATTATATAACGTCACGGAACAACTAGCATCACGACTAAAGTATACCACAACACTTTTTAAAATCTTTTCAACGCTCTTGAAGAGTAAGTGTACCACATCGGCATTAACTTTTATTTGTCATATGCCACATGAAATGCGACATTCGTGAGACAGGTAGAGTGCCTCCTAAAATTATTATTATTGCATAAATTGCCATTTTTTTTCAGGCGCTAAAATATGCTCTCTCATGACTTTGGACTTACCTTTCTTGAGAACGTCCCAAAGCAGGCATTCATCCTCGAATGTGCAGTATTCTTTGAAAAAAAAAAACGAAGGAAAAAAGCAAAAATGGGCGTTAAATAAGCAAGGTATCTTAGCAGTGCTCCTGTAGTCTCTCTAAAAAATTCAATGTCTCTGTTTGAATAAAAAAAATTTGAATGCTCACTGTTCCTATTGTTTAGTGTGCCTATTAGCTCAATGGTTTCTTGTCGCAAGAAGATTGGCGCATCACGTTCTCATGCTTCGTAGTAGCATATGATTTGCACCTGCTCAACTGTATAGTCAACGTAACATACCTCCAACTCTGCTTTGTTTTTTTTTTCGTAGTGTGTGGCAGTGGGCGCAAAAAAAAATTTACAAAGCTGCTAGTCTGAAAATAAAATGCAAGTATGTTCAAACGAAGTACATAGGACATCTTTATCAAGTCTAGCAAAAATTTTAAAAGCCTTGCTGAGGTGTCTTACAGTGGTTTAACGTATTCTACTTCGGTAGCCAAGCTATCAAGGTACGAAATGTTGCAACATTTAAAAGAGAACTATTCCACACAAGCTACATGCCACACCAACATCGTACACCGTATATTACATCTGTTAACGGAGCATACTTTGGGTAAGCAAATGCAATAATAACATATGGGATATTACGTCCCAAAACAACGATTGATTACGAGACACAGTGAAGTGGAGGTCTCCAAAAATTTCAACAATGTGGTGTTCTTTAACTTGCACTGACATCACACAAAGCACAGGCCTCTACCATTTTGCCCTCACTGAAGTGCAATCGCCAATACCGGGATGGTACCCGCGATCTTAGGGTCAGCAGTCAAGCACCCTAGCCACTGTTTTACCGTGGCGTGCCTGTGAGTGAATGTAGTACATATGCCAACACACCATCATTCATCGTGTGCTAATTTTGACCAACGCCATTTCAGGGTAATGTTGACACCAAAATTGCTCTTCAACATGGATTTAACAAAGTTAGAGTTGTCACTGGTTGTCTTACCGAATGGCGGACACTGTCCTTCAGCAAACTCAACGTCGTCTACCATAATGCCAGACTGTGCGGTGAATGCCCCTATTGCCAAACCTTCAAAGACGAGCTGTAAAAAAATATGTAAACTTCGTGTTATGTGTAAATGTATAAAATATGCTTTGTGATAGCTTTATAGGTTTCAACTGCTCTGATACATTGTACAAAAACTAAAAGAAATGTGTGGACAAATCTGCAGCTACGTTAAAATTAATGGCAGTAAATGCTTACAAGCAGTGTTCATTCTTAAGGGAAGTTGCTATAAATAGGTCCTCCGATGAACAAATGCTTTAAAAACACTGCCAGGTGAGTTACGCTAAAGAATCACGAGAACGTTCTATATAACGGCATTAAAACATTTTCCCACTGTGACATTTTTTGTAAACGGCAGGCGCTGCGCATTTCATCCTTTTCAAACGTCGCGTCAGCTTCATTACAGTACTTCAGATGAAGACCATAAATATTCTCGTACGAGCTTTACTGCTAGCCATAAAACTTATTCTGGGACTCGGAGAGTGAAGTTTGCAATGTCGTACCATTGTGAAACACCGTCTCATTCAAAACCTAATATTCTTGGATAACGAAGGATATCCGAGAAAATTATTATCGGTTTCATGTCTGTCAGAGTTTCGGCAGCCTATTCCACAGTTTTCAAATATTTCCCGCCAGAGTGTGTTTCCGCTTTTGCTGAACAAAAGGTGGCTCTGTGTTTCGCAGCGGGTGTTAGCATTAACGAAATTTGTCTATTTATAAAGCCATCCGCCTCGAATATCCCGGCAACCCCAGTGGGCAGAATAAAATCTGAAGAACACGAACAGAGCATTAAGGTTCTGGTTCCCGATTCATGCTATTGAAGTCACGAGATCTCCCTTCTGCAGTACGTACTCATATAATGAGTTGTGAGCGAATATGTTTTCGGTTTACTTGTTCGCCCACAGTACAGCTGCAACAGAACTTGTCTGCCAATTTTCTGAAGTACTTGTCTTAGGTCTCGCTGGGCTAACTCGCCCATTGAAAGCAAAGTCTGCAACAATAGGGCTATATTTCTTTGTTCTCGGGTAACACGTCTCTGCGATATCTTCCGCATACTTCTCCCCAAGCACGTGAAGAATTTCACTACTTGTTGGATAAAGAAATTCTGATTGCCATTAGATCATTCTGTGTGAGAACATTTGGCACGAGGTATTACAACATTTGCTTAGCACGGGTCTTTGTGTAGAGCAAGCGCACACCTTACGTTTGTAAATGTGGATATTCTTCCAACAAGATAATACTTAAATCAAGAATCTCGTAATTGCTCATGCAATTACGAGAGTGTGATTTGTAAATTGTGCTGGTTGAAATTTAGCAGTTTCCTGCTATAAAGTACCTAACAAAAATGGACTCACGTTCCATGATGTGCTTGAAGTTACAGTTACGGTACGTGCCCTCCACTGGCCGTCTTGCGCATGCGAACCTACGGACACCAGAGGATCGCTTAGCGCTCTTTCTGTCGTAAATCTGCAAAAATAAAGCATAGAAAAGTTTTTAAGAGGCCTGCATTGTTTTATTTAATACGGGGAAAGATTAGTTTTACGCAACGTTATGACTAGTGAACCGCCAGCTACACGAGAAACTGCGTAGTGTCATAACAGAGTCAATTTAGACCTTAAAATGGCATGTGAGGGTTGGTTCCTATATGGCGCCTAAAAATGTTCGACATTAAAAGCATGGTGAGAGCGCAAGTAAACACGACACACAGGAAGAGGCACAGCAAGGGGTGTTTAGTTGCCCTCTCACGATGGTTTCCTTGTCAAAGCACCAAATCGCCCAACAGTCACCTCTATTGAAAAAAATGTTGTGGACAAAGTCAGACTAATGTTAAATAACTGACACTAGCTGAAGTAGTTCGAAAACTTTCACTACCGCATTTACAATGTATTACTCTGCTTTATGTTTCCGCTGTTAATTCAGAGAGTTGCAATGTCTTTCTGCCTCAAATACTTAATTTATTTCCTAATATTTATGCGTAGTGCGCTGACCGATGTCGTAATTCTTCGACTGGGGTATAAACGCAATGATGTTCTTTATCTATTTAAGAATTTAACCATCAACCTTAGAGACAATTTAGCCTGATTAAGTTTGTTCTTAGGCGTGGTTGAGTTTTCGAAGTTCAATTTATGGCGTTTTTTTTTCTCGTTCCGCTTCACCACAAGTGCAGATCTGTTTTTAAACTAAACTGGGAAGCTAAGAGTTGAAACTCGTCATCTCCCTACACAGAAGGGCAGATATCTGAAGCTGCACTAACCTGTATACATTCAGTCGGCTACTGATGCCATAGCCGCTCCACCAGAAAGTAATGCAGGTGGCGTCAGTGGGTGGACGCCTTTCCATAAAGACCCTGGACACAGGATTGTGCGAGTGGACTTCCGTCGTGTTTAGGTACAAGTAGCGCCCTGGAATGGGAGCGCATATTCAATGCATGATTTATTCCTTGTCCCATGGTAAAATGCACTGAAGTGTTGATTTCAGGAACCAGGTGATTGCACAAATAAGTCGCACGAACGACTTTGTTTTTAACGGTCCAGTGTAGTAATCTAACATTGAAAAGTTGTAATACAATAAATAATTATTCATTGGGTAAGCAATCATGCGAGCCTTTTTTAAAATAACGCCACAATGTGCCTATTTCACATTTATCTTTGACATACATTGTTTTTGATGTACTTCAGCATATATAATACACTTTCGTGTGTATTTCCTTTAATGGCCTTTGTTAGGATGCACAACGACTTTCCTGGCCTTTTTTTTTCTTTTAAAGCATGTTATAATGCTTAGAAATTACTAATTCCATCAGCTATATGAACTGTCATATTAAAAAAAAATTCTACGACAAGGTTTCATCTATGTGCTGTGTGCATTTCTTCCCGTATAAAAGAAAGAATTCTGGTCCTATTCTTGTGATGTTATCACAAAGGTTGTCGCAGTTCGCTAGGGGCACAAGTATTAGGAAATATTGTAGGCGAGTGTGCGATGCTATAATTCAGAAGCTATGGAGCCGAGCTGGACTGCCCACGTGATAGCTTGGCCCTTGGTAATGTCACGTTCTTTTTTTTTTTTTTGCAAACTTCATGTAGGCTGGTCTCCTAGGGAATCTTTCTGGGGCCAAGTTAAAACAACTTGACGAGAAGGCAGAAAACAAGTGCAAGGAAGAGCTCGCTTGTGAAAATACCAACCAAGCAAACGAAACGTTCTGGAGCAGCATTGTGTTCTTACCGTTCATATTCTTGGTCGTGTGGTCTGGAAAGCCTACATGCAAGGCACGACGAACTTCCCAGGTGTCGTAGCTGTTCGGACCTGGTGTCACCTGGCACGAAGATCCAACTTCCCAGGAGCAAAAGTCTTCACGAGGGAGGCAATATGCAAGCGCACCACACGATGTGTAGCAAACGTAATAGTACAGAGCTCGTGTTTTCACGCAACAGCGTTTTGACACTTCAACTGGTGTTTTGAGAAACCGTATACTGTGGTTTTAATTTAATGCTTGTGGATAACAGTATATTGAACTACCAGACCTGAAGTTTTTTCCTATTTAATAAAATCTCCATATGCTAGTGGTTAAAAAACGTTTATTCTGGGTTATGTGGAAACTATGAAAACCTAGGAACATGCAGCATCGTGTGGCAGATGCTGAAGCAGGAAAACGATAGACATAAGACATGCAAGCAGCTACTCTTTATAGCAATCAGCATATCAAGAAATTTAAGAGCGATAAATTTGTAATTCCTTTTGGCAGCAATTACGTGTATTACAGTGAAGTGAAAACAAATCACAGCAAATAAACGAAGTAAAAATGATGAGTGGGCAAAGCTCCAGCAGGTCATTCAGAAAACCGTCAATTACTCGTACATAGCCCACTCGAACATGCAAATGAGTGACAAGACGTGTGTATAGTATATACAACTTTATTTTAAAGGTCGAATGAGGCATTAGGACAGGGACTTCGTTTGCCCTTCATTAGGACTGCCTTATGATCAGTGAAACGCAGATCCAAGAGGTCTTGGATGGGATGTAAGCTGAAGTTCACATAGAAAATGTCTAGGCAGGTCACCCAGGTAGTTGTTGGTTATTTATATATGAAATGCATCTCAGAGCATATCACGATGTCTAATGCTGCACAAGCTAGTTGTCATTCATGATACCTACATTAATGTCACCAGCCAGTATGAAGGAGCCGTTCTTGTATATTCTAACATAGTCTAGAATTGCTATGGCAATGTATTTTTCTAGGCTGCCTCGTCGGACATTCGGGGCCAGGTACATTGTTATTATAACGGGTTCATTTGACAGTTTTATCGCAGCGTGTTCACCGTTCTGACTCTGTTTGGCTTTTAGTGGTTTGAGATTCAAAGGTGTCGCTAATTTGCATGTTCGAGAGGACAAAGTAAACAAAATGTTTTACAGATGTATAGCAGGTACCTCACTTATCAGCAGAATAATGAATGGCGTAGAGACATAGTGAGCACTTCGTCGTCACCGCCATCATCATGACGTATAGTAGGCACTTCGCATGTGCTGTGCCGTGATGGCAGAAAGAGAATGCATGGCCTGGAATGCGCAAGTCCTTCATCGGCATTGGCGTCAGCGTCATCATCAACGAAGGACGACGGCAGGAATGGCTCGACCTAAAGGAGCTTCGTGCCTAAAGAACTTTCTTGCCGAGCTCGATCACTGAATGACTCACTCAGAATGTGACGAGATAGATCTTTTTTTTTCAAGGGATAAGCAAAGTGCCATTGGTGTCATAACGGTATTACCCCTCTTAGCCCCACAGGCTCGTCGCGATATACATTCTGCATTACTTCTTCATTCCTACCTTCACTGAAGCAGCGGAAGTCATGGGCCAGCAGGGTTCACCTAAAGTGAGCTTTCAGTTAGGAAAGGAGCGCGGATACCTTCCGTGTTTGAATATTTGTTAAGGTCATGGTTTAATGTGCAAATCCCCTTGCCGCAATGATGTATGGCGAGCGCGCTTGCAGGAAAACAAACGCCTTGATTTTTTTTTTATTCATAGTGGCCTAAGAGCCACTCTCTGTCAACCCCAAGCCATTTCATCGCGTTTTCTGTATTCTTCACGAGTCGGATGGAGAGCAAAAAAAAGTGTATCTGTCTATTGAAATGGCATGTCAAGTAATGACAATCCACATAACTGTTCATGTAACGAGAACGCGCGCTTCAGCTTAATTATTTTGTGCAGTGCTAAAGAAAATTCTGTGCAGTCTCATTCTCTGTGTGAACTTTCGCAAGTGACCTTTCATACCAGCAGTTTGTACCGCAAGACATGGCCATATGGAACTATAATACAAGTATGAAAACTACCTCAAGGCGCAAAATTACTTAGGTGTGAAGCGTTTCCTATGTCTTTCGTCAAAAGCTTCTTGATAAGTGAAACTTCAGCTGAACGGCAAAGACACTTGCTTGCTTACCTCTTTGTGGGCATGATCCAGTGTAGACGCTTATGTCATCCAAAGCAACTAGGCCAGCTTCCATGTAGAACGAAAGCTGAAGCTGATGCAAAAAGGTGGGTAGTTCCATTTGTAATAACTTGTACGCGTGCTTAAAATATGCAATTGAAGACATATTGCCCACCCTAATGAGCATAAGTCAAATACCACAAAGTGGTACATCCTTACACAGGCATCTTTCATAGGCGCAAAGTCAATGTTCAATGTGCTTGGCATAGCAAAGTATCCCACGACCAATGGAATCGCAAAAAACCCGTATGTATTTAAAAGACAACTTGTGCAGTGACATTAGTGCACTCACCAAGGACTGAATAAATGTCCCGTTCGCACCTTATCAAAGTGATTTAGCTACTTAAATTGCAACAAACAGCAAAATTTGAAAAAAAAAGATGAACAATAAAGTATTCGCATAATTTAGTACGGAACCATAGCAATTTACGCCTAATACAGGATGCAGAATGCCTAATCGGACAAGTTGTACTGCTTCTCCGGCCTATGAACAGAAAGTGTAAGCTCGAATGAAACTTAACGACCAGCGAAAATCAAAAGTACTTCATGCAAACCAAATCAGTACCAGAAGAATATATGCATGCTTATGCTATATGTGTTGGTTGATTATTTCAACCTGCTTGGGCATATCCTGTTGACCTTCCCTGGCTTTGAAAAAGTCCACGTCAATAAATCTGCGAAACTCTGCCATAAAATTAAAAAAACAACCCGGGAGTAAAAGACGTACACACGTACCTTGAATTTGCCCTCTGGCCTCTTGAAGTCGACGAGTACATGGTCCCACTGGTGGCTGTGTCGAGTGATGGTGCCGAACAGGCGGTCGGCATCAGACCGCACATCAAGACTGTGGAGAAGAATAACGTCTATTTGCAATACTAGGCATGGAAAGCAATGCTAGTTCTTGAACAACGGAGAATCTTGCTGCAAGCAAAAAATATTTTGCCTCACGCACACACGTAGAACCAGAATGGCTATGAATCAAATGGCTATGGTCGAAAGGGCAACCAGAACACACATCATTTACGTTGGACACATTTATGGGCAATGCTAGAATATGATGTCTGTACTATAATGGAGCTTCAAGTTTATGCTTCCCCTGAGACAAGCTGCGAGAGCTGTAGGTGAGGTCGCCAATTCCGCGCCACATATTGCTGGGTCAGCGTAAAACAACACGTCGTAAATATAGGACTGAATAGTCATGTACACAGTGAAGATTACTACAGAAGAGATCACCAAGAACTACTACCATTCACCTTATAAATACTTGAAGCCCATGCACGCATGTGAACTACCGCATGGAAACTTGTGAACGCAAGATGTTCAGCCCATGAGACCGCACTTAAGGTGCAGCCGCGTTATAACTGGCACTACAAAACATCGCGTCAAGTACTGTTCTCTTCATAAACCTCTCGAAGCCTCCAGGGTGCATGACAGACGGAGTAGTAGCGCCAGTGTTTGCACAGATAAAAAATTAGCAGATCCCTTGTACAGCGGAAATCGATGATATGCGATGCACGAATTAGAAATGCTAATGTGTCAATTTAAAATCCGCCCAACGTTACCAGATGGAGGTGAATAATGCCGTACATCACTTCCGTGTCATGTTTATAATGTTTGGATGTGTCGCTTACCTTCGTCATCTATTCACATCAGGTGATACCAAACTTAGTATATGTGGAGCTAGCAAAACGGCCGCGAGCACGCTATGAGCGTAATATGTTGTCGTGCTCTTACATGACTTGCGTGTCATGATTATCATGTTTGCACCAATCATATATTTTGTCATTTATTTACATCACCTAACACCAAATTTGGTATATGTAGAGCTAATAAAACGGCCGCGAGCGCATCATGAAGAACCCAATATACTACAATGTAGCGTTGTCGCGCCTGCACGGTGGACACAGCGACGCTACGTTAGCAAAACGCAAGCACTCTACGGTCTGACGCCAGGTGCGACCATCGTCCTTCGGCGCGGCCTGACGGCAACCGGCGCGAAATGCGGCATGCTGCATGTCGCGCCGATGCGTTACCTAGACAAAACTACGTCTCTCTTTTTTCGTGATGGAGGGAAACCGAACGCACCGAAACGCGCATGCGTCAAAAAAACACAGCGCGGCGCGTGCCTGCGAGTATATGGCAGGACCAACACCTGGCGTGGCAACGCCGGCATGACGCGACGAAATGAACGCTGGCGAGCACGTGCACCTCGTCACGTTGAAATGTCTTGGCGCCTTGGCTGCGGCATGTAATCATGTTCCCACATGACACGCGTCTCATGCTTATAATGTTGGCACCAGTCACATACCTTCCTCATCCATTAGCGTCACGTAATACCAAACTTGGCATATGTGAAGCTGGCGCAACGGCCGTGAGTGCATCAACAGTTTGGCATGTAATCATGTTACATGACGCGCATGTGATGATTATCATGTTTGGATACGTCATTTACCTATGTCGTCCATTCGCGTCACGTAATACTGAGTTTGGTACATGTGAAGCTAGCGAAATGGCCACGAGCACATCATGAGCGTAGCATGTAGTCATGTTGTTGCATGACACGCATCTCAGGTTTGTCATATCCGCACCAGTATTATACATTCGTCATCCATTCACCTCTCGTAATAACAAATTTGGTATATGTGACGCTAGCGAAACGGCCGCGAGCGCATCATGAGTGTGGCATGTAGTCCTGTTGTTACATGACACGCATCTCATGATCATCATGTTTACACCAATCACATACCTTTGTCAGCCATTCACGTATTGCAATACAAAATTTGGTATATGTGACGCAAGCGAAACGGCCGCAATCGCATCATGAGCGTGGCATGTAGTCATGTTACATGACACGCGTCATGATTTTCATGTTAGGGTTTGTCCCTTGCGTTCGCCATGAAATCATGCCATAAAATACCAATTTCACAATATGCCATGTGAACGTCTACCCTAACTGTTTGAACGTGGTTTGTTTTTTCTGGTGTCTGATTATTTTCTATTGATAGTGTGTTCTGTATTTTTTGTTGTAGAAATTATTCATAAAGTTTTATATATTCAGTAATCATCTGTTGTCTAATCTTTCTTTTTTGACGTTGATATGGACATAAGAACTAATAATAAAGCAAATACCTTATAAGCAAGAAATAAAGAGAGCGGCCTTACACTGAGCAAAATGTTCAGTGACTGGTGGAGAGTTGCTGTTTTGATATTCATCTTTCACAACAGCGCAGTTCTTACGTCACCAGTTATGTCGGAAAGTGTTCGTGCTAAATGATGAACAATGTTTTAAGCTCCTGTACCTTTACATCACATTGTTCACCAGAAGAACGAATAAGTACTTGATATTTCATTAATATTATCACCATTGTGGCGTAATGTAATCAGTACTTGTGACAAAAAATGAGAAACATGGTTTGCTACCTTTTACGTGAAATATATTTGACAACGTGAATTAATTTTAGTACAAAACATAGAAATACTTGCTTGACATGTTGTGCGTGGGCGGTAAACGTCCAAAAACTGAGGCAGGCTCCACCGGTGGCGTTAACGTCTAAATCGGGGCTGTTGAGAACCGCGTGCTGTGCTTCGACGTCTTTGTGTGTGGCAAATGCAAATCGCCCTATAAAAGAAAGGAAATATGCATTTATTCGCTGCTGCAAAACACTTTACAAAACACGAGCATGTAACTACCTTTAGTAATAAGCGTTTCTGTTACTATTATAATACAACCGAAACGTATATACAACGTACGCGCAAATATTTCCTCTTTTTCTTTATTGTTGGTGAGCTCAAAATGCTCATTCGGGTAGCTTGACGCTCAGCTATCTCATCACACTGCTGTCAACAATCGGTCGTTTGCGCGTTGAACTGGAAACAACGAAGGCAGCATGTTGTCAGTCGGCAGGGTCTCGGTCGTCCGGCTCATGACGTCACATGCAGTGCACGCTTATTGGTAGAGGCTCATGTGCATCCGTCTTTGGCGGGAAAAGCTGCTGTCTTCCAAAATTTCACCCAGCTATACTATAGATGTCAACGCGACATGGCGGCTGTATCATAGGAGTACATACGTAATGTCAGCACTGCAACTACAACTGACGTTTCACGAACATTAGGTCTATTTAAGAAGTAGTCATGAGACCAGGCGTGGCTTGTGGTAGAATTCTGTATTGTCCCGCAGAATGCTGGAATTCGATTCCTGCTGTGACCCTGACACTCATTCTATGCATTCGTTGGATCAACGCTGCCGATGTCAGCTTTCTTTAACGCTCACGCGTTATTTATCCATGTGTGTTCTCGGCGTTCCTGGGTCGATATTAAGTGGCAATCACCTGTGGCACATACCCACATACCGGTCGCTCATACTCGCCCACGGCTATGGATCTGTTTAGTGCCAAGTTTTGGTTGATGTACGTGACGGGACTGGGACATTATTCATGTCTTGACCTGCGCGCCATATTCGTCAAACCATCATACCTTCCCATACTAATTTTGGTTTTCGTAAAGTTAAGGGAGCGATCAAGAGAGCAGCCAGACTTAAGCGGATTTATGGATGGATGGATGGATGGATGGATGGATAAATGGATGGATGGACGGACCGACGGATGGACGGATGGATGGATGGATGGATGGATGGATGGATGGATGGATGGATGGATGGATGGATGGATGGATGGATGGATGGATGGATGATGGATGGATGGATGGATGGATGATGGATGGTAGGGGGCATGCGGCGGATTGACTGACTGCAAGTCAAGACGTCCATGTGGTATGGTGGCTTATTTTCCGTCTGCCGAGCTGCGGCGGCACGCGAGTGCGGGCCGCCGCCACGAGAGAGTAAGAAAAGAGAGGAGGAAAGCGTACAAAGGGGGATGTTTTACGTATATAAAAAAGCAGATTGTAAGAGATGACACACGGAGTAATGTTGAGGGCACATAGTTTATGTTATGGGGGGGGGTGCGGAGGCGCGTGTTCAGACGCTCACCACAGGTGCCCCCCCCCCTTCCGACAGAGGAAGCCGAAGTGACTAACGATTAGTTAGAACCAGTGAACGCGGCGAGCCGGAGGTACTTCGTGTTGGTCGTAAAGATCTGCAGGCGCTGTAAGGGGACACGTAGCAGATACTGTAATGCAACATACCGGGCCGTCTACGTATGCTGGCTTCAGCTGCTCGAGTGCGACTACATCGCGCTTTCCATTAAGGTCCACGATGAACATTGGGGAACGCCATTCGAGTACACGGAAGGGCCTGAGATAATGTGGTTGCAGGTGACTGCGTACGGGGCCGTAGTGCATGAACACATGCGTCGCTTTGTATAGATCTGCAGTTGAGTATACAGTCCGTGAGTGGCTTGCTCGCGTTGGCTGTGGTCGAAGGTTCCGGAAAATATCACGCAGTTTGTCAACGTACTCACTTGGTGTGGGCGAATAGTCTGGTTTAGTGGCGTCAAAGAAATCTGCCGGTAAATGAAGAGGGGCTCTATAAACAAGCTCAGTACTGGCGCACAAAACGCCTTTCTTGAACGCAGATCGAATTTCTAACAGCATGAGCGGGAGAGCCACTTGGCCATAGGACCGTGTCCTGTAAGCGCTGCTTTCAGGTGACCACGGAAACGTTCTACGAGCCCGTTTGTTTGTGTATGGTAAGAGGCAGTTCGCAGTCGCGCTACTCCCAGCAGCTTGAGGAGGTTCTTGAAAAGAGACGACTCGAACTGGCGGCCGTGGTCAGAGGTTATTGTTGTGGGGCAGTCAAATCACGCCACCCAAGTAGAGATGATAGAATCGGCCATTGTAGGAGCTGTGATGTCAGGGATAGGCGTAGCCTCCGGCCATCGGGTGAAGCGGTCAACACAAGTCAATAATTACCGGTAACATTGCCAACGGGGAAGGGGGCCAACGATGTCGATGTGGACCACTGCGAAACGTTGATCAGTCTGCAGGAAACGCTGAAGGGGGGGGGGGGTGTGCTGGGTAACGTTGTACTTTGGCTAACTGACATGGTGTTCACGCACGTACCCAGCCGCGAATGTTAGCATTCATGCGGCACCAGAAGATGCGTGATTTGATCATCCTTTGAGAGTCACGAATTCCCGAGTGTGAAAGGTTGTGCAAAGAATCGAAGACTGTCTTGCGGAAAGGAATAAGCAAATACGGTCTCGATGTACCTGTAGAAGTATCACATATAATTGACACGTCTTAAATGGAAACTGTATCCAGCTTCAGTTATGTTTGCGTATCTCGTAGGTGAGATAGTCTGAGTAGTCTGTCTGTGCTTTTGCCAGCTGATGTAAATCGATTAAATAGGACGACGAAACTGACGTTTTGGAACGACTGCGCGTCACAGCGTCCACGCGGCTAAGTGCGTCAGCAGGAGTGTTGTCCACGCTGTTGTTGTGCCGGACATTCGTCGTGAATTCTGAGATGAAGGCTAGTGTTCGCACTTCCCGTGGCGTATACAGTGATGCAGTATGACCCATTGAGTAGGTGAGCGACTTGTGATCAGTGAAAACTGTGAGTATTCAGCCATCGAGAAGGTGGCGAAAGTGACGTGCTGCCAGGTAGATGGCTAGAACTTCCCGACCGAAAACACTGTATTGTGTTTCAGAATGAGTCATGTGTTTTGAGAAGAACGCAAGAGGTTGCCTTGCACCGTTGACATTCTGCTGTGGAACAGCTTCTACCGCTGTGTTGGAAGCGTCGGTCATGAGTGCCAGCGGGCAACCTGGTTGTGGGTTGGCGAGTTGGGTGGCTTTGGCCAAGGTGTGCTTGACGGCATTAAATGCATCATCCACCACAGTGTCCCATTTTAGTGCTTTCGCTGAGTGCTTGCCGCAAAGCATACGGTCTAAGGGTTCCAGCAGCGTGACGTAGTTTCTCATAAAGCGTCGTTAAAAGTATACAAGCCCAAGAAACTGGCGGAGCTTTGTGGTTGATGATGGTTTGGGAAACTCGATGATGGCTTGCACTTTGTGAGGACGTGTCGGATTTCATTGGTGTCCAAGTAGTGACCAAGTAATTCAAGGGCGTGTTGCTCTAATTGGCTCTTTTCCGTGTTGATTATTACGCCATTTGTGGAGAGGCGTTGGAAGAGCTGGCGCAGGTGGTGCAAGTGTTCTTCGGGCGAAGAATTCGAAACTAGGATGTCATCAACGTATGCAAATACGATACGCAGTCCACGCACAACAGAATAGATGAAACGCTGAAAAGTCTGCTCAGCATTTCGAAGTCTGAATGAGATTCGGATGAATTCAAAAAGTTTGGATGGTGTTGTGACTGCTGTTTTTGAAATGTCTTCATCCGCTACGGGAACTTGGTGACAGCCACGGACTAGATCAATTTTGGGAAAGATGGTTGTGCCATGGAGAGCTGAAGTGAAGTCTTGTATGTTGGGCAGTGGGTGCCGGTCCAGAACGGTCTTGGTATTCAGAGATCGGAAATCCCCGCATGGCCTCCAATTTCCAGACTTCTTGGGGACAAGATGAAGGGGAGGTGCCCAGCTGCTTGAGGAGGGTCTGATGATGCCGAGTTCCAGCATGTGTTTGCATTCCGAATGGGCCACCTTGAGTTTGTCTAAAACTAGACGTCGCAGTCGAGAAAACACAGGTGGTCTTGATGTGACAATGTGATGTCGAATGTCATAGCACACTGGTTGAGTCCAGATCGATGGTGATGTAAGCTGAGGAAACTCTTCTAGCAGGTCTGCAAACGGCTCTTTGGCAACTGTGACGCATGAGAGTGCCAAATTTGTAGCTGCGCACACCGCGAGTTCGTGAATGGAGAGTTTAGTTGCGGAGTCTATTAAGCGCTTTCTCTTGACATCGACTAGGAGTCTATGCTGGTTTAGGAAGTTAGCACCAATTATTGCAGAACCACCATCAGCAACCAAAAACACCCACCGGAAGATTCTTTGAAGCCCCAAGTTGAGCGTTACGGAACGTTGCCGTTACACGGGGATGTGTGTCCCGTTGACAGGTTTGAGGTGAAACAGTACAGTGAAAGTGCGTTCTGCTTTTGTCATTGGGAGGACACTCACTTGGGCTCCTGTGTTGATAGGAAAATTCTGTCTGGTAGTTCGGTCGAAGATGTGAAAAAGATGTTAAGATGTCTTGGCGCTGACTGCTTGTTTCTGCTAGTGGTCGGTCGTTGAGTCTTCCGACCATGTGCAAGGTAAAACGCAGCAGCGGGAATTTTCACCAAAAGGCGATGGTAAAAGCACATTCGTGGACTGGGGGAGGCTCTTCGCTCTCGTCGGCAAAGATCGGGTGGCGGAGAACGATGACGTTGGTTTTCACGACGTGCGGATGGCTCTGGGTTAGTTGCTGCCACGATGAGATATTCCAGCCGAGCACAAAGGCCGTCAACATCGGAGGGGCCAGTGGAAAAGAGTGCAGGGCTAGGTGGCTAGGAAGGGGTGGCAGGAGTGGTCGGTGGTGTCGAATGCATTGGTGTAGTAATGGAGGCAAATGGGAAACTTGGGGTCGATACTTACATAACTTTATCGGCCGGCGCAGCCAGTGATGTCGAATCCATGGCTATGGCTGTCGAAAGCACCATTTCGACCTGGGACGGCAGTCGCTGGAGAAAAAGTTCACGTAGCACTGCAGTGTCCGTAGTGGTTGCACTAGTGCCCAGAAGCTTCGTCATTCGCCGCAAAAGCTGGCTTGGACGTCGGTCTCCAAGCTCCTCTGCGGACAGTAGCTGCTATATTCTGGTTCTCTCCGACGCAGCGGTCCTTTATAGGATGCCTGCTTGACCTGGTGGTATGGTCTTGCCGGGGGATGGTTGCGAAACGAGGTAATCCTGTCGATTACCTCTTCTGCAGCTGTAGAGGCGAGTGCGCTGACCACGTGGTAAAATTGCCGCTTTTGTGAGGTGATTCTTGATAGCTGGAATTGAGATTCCACTTGCAGAAACCACACGGCAGGGTTACATACTAAGTGTGGCGGAAGACATCAAGTGACGGTGGAAACGGCCGCCCTGGATGTATTGGTCTCTGGCATCGTTTGGTTGGGGGTGGGTGTATGAACATGAAGCTCCATTTTGGAAGGCCCATGCGTTGGTGTCCGATCTTAGTCAGTCGTGAGATGGGCGGCTCTATGTTACATAGGTGTGTTTAACAAAGCTGGGTAAGCAATCGTGGAGGGCATAGGGCGGATTGAATGACTGCGAGACAAGACGTCCGTGCGGTATGGTTGTTTATTTTCCGTCTGCTGAGCTGCAGCGGTAAGTGAGTGCTGGCCGCCACAAGAGGTGGAAGGAAAGAAAGAAGGAGGAAAGCGTACAAGGAAGGATTTTTTTACGTATATACAAAAGCACAGTGTAAGAGAGGACACACAGGGTAAACTTGGGGGCACATAGTTTATGTTACGTGGGGGTGCGGAGGTACGTGTTTCTACGCTCACCATAAGCAAGATAGATACAGACAGACAGACAGACAGACAGACAGACAGACAGACAGACAGACAGACAGACAGACAGACAGATAGATAGATAGATAGATAGATAGATAGATAGATAGATAGATAGATAGATAGATAGATAAACAGACAGACAGACAGACAGACAGACAGATAGATAGGTAGATAGATAGATAGATAGATAAATAGATAGATAGATAGATAGATAGATAGATAGATAGATAGATAGACGTAGGTGCCAAACGTGCTTGCAGTACACGAAAAAAATACTTCCCAGTTAAAATTCTTTTCTTTAATCAAGGCGAGGGCCTTAAATGCTTAATCCATCAGCATAGGCGGCGTCAACAGGAGGGATGTAAAATATTATCACGTGATTACATTCCCACTTAGCGCGTTCCTGTGTTTAAGCTAAGACACGTATTACGTTCAGCCACGCTTGTGGTCCTTGCAGTGTAGGCTGTGAAAGACTGACGCTAACACGTGAGCTTCTCTTGTTCATTTGCTGCTAAAATATTTTTTTTCAGAGACAGCTCCCAGAGAAGAGAGCATATCAAGCTGCATTTTTCTTCACCTCGTTCAAAATATTTTTCATAACTGTACCACGAATAAATGTTTCACCAGTATTTGGTCTCAAGACATGAGACCAAGCATCTATATAGAGGAATCTTACTGCTATACCCCACTACTCTGAGGGGTTTACATTTCGTTCATTCGTTAACATATAGGAATTGACATTCCCATATTTTTGATCTGAAGTTCCAATGTCAAGCATAGTGCAGTGACCACATATGGCGGCAATGGTATGAAAGCACTATACTGTAATTGCAAATGTTTTAGTAAATTACGTCGGACACAAGTGACAATTGATATTTCGAGCTGACCTCTGTACTTCTTGGTGGTGTGATCGAAGCGTGGAAAGCCTGGCATCTTGTTTGCGTAATCGTTGAGCGCCCATTTGACGGGGAAGTTTCCCGACTTCCATCCACACATGGTTCCGTCATCGAAAGTACACCGTACTGAAATGGATAGATTTACGGAATACAATTATAAATTATTATTTTATCACAAACGTAGTTGCAACCCGTACCTATACACATTAAATTTCTAGATTGAAAACGATTTACGTAATATAGTGTGGGTAGTTTTATTGTTCAGACTGCTGGGCAAAAACAGCCTGACTAGTTATAAATGATAATTCGTTTGAAATTACCATACACGACGTTCGTCTTGTTCCAAGCTTCCAAATGCGCAGTGATGCGTTAACTGAATGGAAACGTACACGTGGTCTGCAAGGCTGTATGAAGTTTTTTTGCGTGATGTCTTCCACCACATCGATGCTCTTCTTGTAATATGTACCTATGCAATGGGTCTCGGATAATTTCTCAAGCCCGGCCGAGATGGTAGACAATCATCAGGATCGGCTCAATTAATTGTGGTGGCACGGTCAAAACCGATGGCTTCTTTTGCACACACACTCATATAAGCACCTTATTAAGCTAAACTGGCTTCTGTGGTAACAACGTTCACATTCAGCGCAGAATTATAATGTAGGCAAGTTCTAAACAATATTTGAATAAAGTTTTATTCACCCTAATAAACAAAGAAAAGTCATATGTTTTATTTATATATGCTTGCACATTGTGGGGCTTGTCCTAATTTTACCGCCATCGCTGCAGCGGCCCCACATGGCTCCCATTTGCGTAAATTTAGAAACCAACAAACAACAAAGACATAAATGAATGAATAAATATATAATTAATAACCTGTTTGCCTATTGCGAATAAAGGACAAGTTTGGCTTCTGCGAATGCGTTCCTGGCTGATAAACTTTCTTTCTTGCTCTCTTTTTGTTTCTTTCCACCTTCCTTCCCTTTTGTTCTTTATTCTCTTTCTCTTTTTTTTCTTTCCATCTTTTTTCGTCATTGCAATGCACAGTGCTTCCTTCTAACGTCGGCAATCTTTCTGGGCATTAGACCTTCACTACGTGCTTAGCAGTTCAACTTTTTTTTTTCGAAGGATAATGAACATGATTTGTTCATACAAGGCGAAAAATAGAAGTGACAACGTGAAATGACATCACATTTAAACAAAAGGTCACAGTTTAGCATTCTAAACCTGTGATCGCCGACACGTCCACAATCGAGACAGCATAAATTGGTGGAAAACAGCACACACGTATACTGTAGTAGTCTTGGTCTAGTTAGAGATACGAGGTGGTAACTGTAACCACCCAATATGGTGACGCCAAAAACCTCCTGAAGTAGTCCAAAGGCTTCCTGGAATTGCATGGAGCGACTTCTGGTGCTAGTTACAGGCTGCGGGAGTAACGCGAATGGCATATTGACGCGCATCCTAGAGAATTCATCACGAAATTACTTATCTGAGCATTCCAGCTCGGATTAGAAGAAAGTTATTGAGAAAAAAAAACAACAAAGATACTGCCGCACAAGGATAATTTGTACCAGTCACACCAAAAAACTACACCACGTAGCGACCAAAACAAAAAAAAAGTTGCATCATCAAGAAGCACCATATTCTGGCAATATAGCTACAAATCTTGCTGTCATTTAAAGTTTATGTCATTACGTCAATCATTATTTTTTGATGACTGTTACTCTAGCCTTCCGCCCACCCCCATTTTCCACTCCTAATGCTGGTTGGTGATAATTACAACTTTCTCAAGGTAACGGCTTATATAGAATCTGCACTCACCGGGAGAATCAACGTCCTTCGTTGGCTTGATACCTGAAATAGAAAATGCATAGAACCCGATAACGTCAGAGTGTTCAACACTAGCAATTATGTACTCATTATAATTGTGTCTATTGAAAAAAAAACACGAGCCTTTCAACAAAAAAAATTATTCGCTTCGTTCATAGCGAGGGTCGCGTTTGGGCAGACTTGATGTCTTCGGTAGCATGGGAGGAATAATTGGTCAGCTGCTATCTCGTAATAAGATCGCAGTCTACATGACACTGAAAAGCGAAAAAGACCATTCCACACCCCCGCCATAATGGAAACGTGTGGCGCTGACTGACGCTTAAATGCACATACATACCTTATAGAGTGGATGCATGACCCCCGCCTCAGTTCGGTAGTAAAGCATCTGACGTGTTATTCGAAAGGCGGAGGTTTTCTTTTCTTCCACTTTTCCTTCTTCGCATATACATTAGAGTTAGTTCTAACAGCATCCCGCACACTTTCTTTGACATTTTCTAGATTTACCTATTTTGTGAATTACAGGAGAAAAAAGAGCCCTTTAATTGAAAAAAAAAGTGAATAGTTTGCATTCATGGTCAACATCGCGTTGATAACGTGTTGGGGGGCTAGACTTTTCACTCTGCAGCTGGCTCGAGTGTCGCTGGTGGTGTTGGCGTCTTCTTCGCGATGTAGGCTGCCTTGACGGCTTGATGGGGTGTCCGGTACGTGAAAAGAACAGCACCTCCACCAGTTGTCAACGAGTCGTGACGTCGACGAAGGGAGCCAGCTGTAGTTCGAAGACCACACTGCTTGTTCGGCCAAACCTGTGACCTGTCAGAGAAAGGTCAGATTACAGGGATACAAACTTAACTGGCACTGAGAGCGGCGAAGTAAGTGTAGTCCGTCGATGAACTGACAAGCGGTGAAGCACGTCTGCATTTATACATTTGCCGTCGAATATTCCAGCGTTATCGCTGGCTGCCGCGCAAGTTCAGGAATAATCTGCATGTTGACATTGCCCGCCTAATCTTAAAAAAAAATGATCTACTTTGGCCTCGAAGCTTTGTGAACACTGCACACATGGTTTGCGCTGAACATTACGATAACAAAACACGGAGAAGGAGTGTGACAATATACAAAAAAAGGGCGCTCGGTGCACGAGATCGCCACTGGTTTCCTCGAAACCCTTCCGCAAACGTACGGACTACGCTCCACGGCAAAACTTGGGGTCATTAACCGACACGCATGTGCCTTCAAGACACCGCTGGAATGTTGTCCCTGAGGAAGGAGTGAAGTCGGTTTCGAAACTTCGGGGTTTGACGTGTTTTCCCGTACCTTCCTGTTGTTGGAGTTCAGTTTTTCTCAGTGCAGCGCATGTTCTGAATAGTTTTTTTATTCAGAGCTTGTACGTGACCATTCTGTAGAGAACTGCGATACGTTACCCCTGTCAATTCATACCTTCCTGAAACTTTGTGTCCACTATCAAACATACATGTTCATAGCGCCTCTTTTCCATCTTACACAAACAAAACCCCTTAACGGCTTTTTTTTTTTACGTAAGTGAGCGAATTCACTGCGCATATGTGTTTTATTTTGGTAAGCCATTCTTGTTACAGCACTTACAACATCCGGTAGCAATTAATTAATTAATTATTATTTATTATATTTATGTGTGGAAATATGTGACCTCGGTCTCAGTTTTTGAATAGAAATAGGTACGTGCAAAGTAAATTTATGTGCGAGGGCCGCGGCAACGCATACATTTCTTTGCGAGCCATGTTTGTGGGAAGAATAAGTCCTGATTACCTGCGTTCATGCGTTTGACATCCACAGATGCGATGGCCATGGTACCATTGGTGCCATCACCTCGAGTCACAAGCACTGACAACTGGCAGCGTGTGCCTCGTTTCAGTCCCAAGTTCAAGACACTCCATTGAAGCACCCTCTGAAGTTGTCTTGTAAATTGGGCTTCGGGGTCCTTCGGATTGGATGCGTTTCCAAAGCAAGAGACGGAGAGGTTGGCCGAAGTTATGTCTGCATAGTGGCAGAAGCAAAATGATCACGTTATGAAACCTCGTTCTGCAAAATATGAAGTTCGTTTCACGGTCTTTAACGAGTCTAAGCTACTTTACGGCGTGTGTTCCCAAAGCATTTAAAATCTTGTTTGACACATTTTCTTGAGAAAAAGGAATGCCAATGGAAAGAATGTTGTCGTACGTAGCAGCTGGTCACAAAAAAGGAAATCGTAATATTCAAAAGAAAACTAGCAAAAAATTTATACCTTTCGTAATTCCTTTACTCTGGGCTTTTTATTCCCACGTCTGAATACAAAACTTAGGCTACATAATCAAATAAATAACAAAGAAAAAAGGCAAAACAAGTTCACATTTGAGGAGGTTGTGAAAATATAAAAAAAACATTACTGTGTCAGTACTCTAGGCTACAGGCTGAACCTCGAGAGCATTGTCATAAATTCATAGGACATGCCAAGTTTGAAAGATAATGCACTTGAATGACTGAGCGCTACATATGTGGTTGAGATGAACCTTCTTATTGCCTTCGTAATACACCTTGCACGTGACCAGCCGCAATTTACACTATCAAGCTCAGATTCAGGATTAGGTCTAGTTAGCAATTCGAGCAAATTCAGAAGACCTTAGTCCTAAAAAGAGCTAATGAATAGGCTCTAACTTGTTCAAAACGCTAAAACAAGCTCCCTGATTTGTGCGTAAGGCGGTGGTGGTCACGATTCGCAAATATTCTGCCACTGTGCGCCACGCAGACACAACATTTCAGAATACAATCCCACGTCCCTCTACTGCACAGGACTAGTCTCTATTGCCCGCAAGGACGTAATCTTGCACAGGCAATGTTCCTACCACTGGCCTTGTTAATTTGTTTCTTCACACTACGAAACAACGTCTGAACCCAACGGAAGTACAGTTTGAGCCGTTTAGACCATTTTGATGTTTCCGTGCTGCCATCTACAGAGTTTATATAGCCACGAAACTATTGAAACAATGAGTTTTGCCAGAAAAAAATAACAAAGTTATGATATTAAAAGGTATCTCAAAGCTTTGCAGCTAGGGGAAAGAACATATGCCATCGCATACTTGTTTACCTCGCACCTCTAGCACTGCACTGCCTCGACGCGTGCCGCTCTGACACGAGGGACACGTAGACGAAGCATTGCTTGATCGTTGGCTGCATGACGATGACGTGATCGCTGACGTCGTGCTATGCTGACGAAGTGACCACGGGGAAGAGACAGTGCTACGCCTAATTCTCTTTGCTGCCGAAAAAGGTGGAAAGGCCCTGATAGAGACCGAAACCAGCCGAAGCTGGCTGTTGTACAGTTTATAAGTTCCTCCTTAGGGCACTTACTAGGCGAATTTCTGTGACATCCTATTCAGACTCTGCAAAAGCGCTGTTATTACTTCAACACAATATTTTCACGGTGAGTTTATTTACTCGCGTTTCAAATTACCCCTTCAACTTTGTCATTTCAATAAATCATGCCTGCAGCGAGTGATTAAAGTTATCCTAGTCATCTAGCTGCACGTGTAGCAGAAATCTTGGCACTCGGCTTTATTACAACTAGGCTGAACGCACGTGCACATGTGAAAGGAAGCCATAAATAAGATTTTTTTTCTTTATTGATATTATATATTAGGAGCTGTTGGCGCACAATTATGGCGCCGGCTACTCCTTAGCCCTTGAGTGAAACTTGAACACGTATCTTAGAGTAAAACATACAAAGCTGTCCATAGAAAAAAAAAAAGAACACTCGGGCACAGATACGCGAAGACACACCTAAAGGTACATATCACAACAAAATGATTAGGAAATGTTCAAAAGTCAATGAATAAAGTCTCTGATAATGTCCCTCGTTAATATTCGGTCCAGCCAGCACGAAATAAGGTCTCTGTTATCAGCTACGCAAGATCACAAAAAGAAAATGAACCATAAAATCGCTTCTTGGAGGAGAAAAAATGTTTCTTTAAGGAATATGACTCACCTGGTCCACTTCGGTAATACCGGATTGAGAGCTCAGTTTTGTCATAAAGAACATCAAACAGAGGGCTAAGGAGCTTCACTAACTTGGCTGCCGCTGGTATAGTACCATATGTTTGCCCAGTAGTGTCCGATCTGCCCGTTGTCAGGTCCAGGTAAGCGAATGGACGGGAGTCTGCGATTTGCCGACATAAGAAATGCGCATTCGGTCTTGTTGCCAACGAAAGCGGTTAAACACATTTTTTCCCAAAATATATGAGAGGGCACCACTCAGCCTGTGGCAACAAAAACACGTTTTTTTTGCTTATTCACAGTATATTTCTAGTTGGGAAGTTTTCTTCAATACAAGATGAAGTGGTGAAATTGGTTGTAATTCTATACTCTTCAAATTTCTATTCAGCGATGAAATACTATCAGGTCACAATTTTTTGGGCATGATAGGGCCTCTTTAGAAATTCGCAGCGTAATTAATTGTTTTTTTTGCATTTATTGAGTAAGATAAAAACAACATACAGATGAAGAATCCCTTAGTCTAAGGTTGTACTGGAATCCTCAACCAATTCAAAAGGGAAGTTTGCATACATGTAGCCTTCAAGACTGCATTTCAGTTCACAGTGAGAATAACCGTTCTGTAGCACTATACCAAAAAGTCAATATTGATAAATAATATTTCCCTTCTCTGGAGTTCTTTTTTTTTTTGCTGAACGAAATATTTCAACCTAACAAACAAGGGTTCTGTTGTGGTGTAATGTAATAAGAATTGAACGGTCAAATATATATTAGGCAGCATAAAATTATTAGGCAAAATAAAGTTGATTCATAGTAAGTTTGATGTATCCGCATCGGCGCAAATGACGAGGCATCAACACGCTTTTAAAATTGTGCTAACGCCTGTATTAGAGCACTGCAGGCACTGATTCTTTTGGTCCGGGCCTGCCGGCAGGCCAAATAGGGACGTGCTGCGGCCCGCCCAAGCCCGGCCAGGTGCCTTTAGGTATGGCACGTGCCCGACCCGGTTCCGGAGGATTAGGGTCTGGCCAAACTCGGCCCTGCGCTTTTCAACTAATTATAGCTTCAACATAAAGGACATGTGCTCCAGTTCCTGGTTATTGTAAATGTACAAGCCTTACACAAAATATTTTGTTAAGAGTGCCGTAAGAACGTGTGACTGTGCCACGAGTTTGACTGGTATTGCTGTATTTAATCAAATACGCCCATAAAACTTGCGAAATCAATGCAATGCAGTGTGAGTGGAGGCCTAGCGGGCTGTTTAAGCGCTAGCAATGTGATCTTAATATTGCATTGCAAAGGACTACAAAATAGAACGACCACACGAAGTAGAAATAGGGCTAGCGTTAATCGTTTGAGTATATATACCTTGCTGATGAGCTGGAGCTGATCAGTTCAGTAAAAACTGGAGACTGCATTCTGCAAACTTTGTTGCACAATGCAAGGAGAGGCGGGAAAAACGCACTTCAAACAGCTTCCTAAGAGGAATTCGCCAGTCTGGGAAGTGTAACATAAATTGAAGCAGTCGTTTAGACTACGCAAGCAAGTGCCCCGATGTATAAACTACGTTTTAGCTTAAAAAAAAGATGTCCTGCCAAACACTCATTTTCGAGGCTACCATTACATTGCGATAGATGTGTCAAGGCGCGCCACACACGCCTCACGTCTTAAAACAAGATTGGACTAAAGGCTTCCTAGCAAGCGGCTTCTGAGCTCCGTCGAACGTGGTGCATAGGGTGTCCGGAGCGCAATACCGATGCACCGCGTTAGCGACCGGAGCGTGTGACAAGAAGCGAAAGATTCTCACCTAGTCACCAAGGGCTGACAGGTGGCTCGCAAATGGGGCTGTAGCCCTGGAATTTGGGGCGACGTGGCATACCGATGAAATCAAAATGCTCGACGCCCTTGTGCTGTGTGATGTCAGCGCACACTCTAAATACCAACAGTCCTCCATTATATACGGTGTAGTTTAGGGACAATAAACTCCACACACAAACAGTAACTCAACTTTAGCATAAGCGCACCACTACTCACATCTATTAAACCCGCACCAACGACGCGCCTGACTCAGATCCAAGTCGGTACCCAAGCTCGAAGCTCATGGGCGCTAGTCCGCGTTTTCGGGCCAGCCGGCACCCGTGCAGGGCTCTAACTTAGAAAGAAGTATTTCGAGGCGTCACATGTGAAGCTGATACTACTGACTTCCCAGCTTCCGTGCGAGAAAACAAAAGTGACAGCTATGCAGCAAAAGAGAAGCAAAGAACGCGATAGCAACAACTTGGATGGTCACGCGCAGATTGGAAAGCAGATCAACACGTGCTCCAGATTTGTCACGCACAAATGACACACGAAACGTACTCACAGGTACAGATGCAGCGAATAAGTGTCTCAATTGTTACTTAGCTTTGTCTTAAAAGTGCGCGCTTGTCACAAACGGAGACTACAATGATTGCAGTGACCTGTTTGCGTCCGGTAACTACAACATAATTGCTCCAAGTAAAGCCAGAGGCCAGCCAAGACGTACGATCCTCCCCTTCTTCCCACCGGAGAGATTAAGGGCGCGCGAGGGAGGTTCGCTCCCCTTCTCTAAGCGGCGCAAAGAACGCGTGGCTGATTGGAGCGCGTGCCACCGTGCGTTGTGGCGACGAAGTGACGCGCACTCATTGTGCCATCTTGCTGGTAATGCTGAAAACACGGAAACCCCCCTCCCCCCCTAAGATGCCAGTTATCAATGGTAAGTGGTAGATATAAATAGCTTGCCGTTTGAACGGTGAAGTACATGCTCCTCCGTGGTGATGTGGCAACGCACGCTCATTGCACTATCTTGCTGGCAATGCTGAAAACACGATAATTCAAGCCGTGATGCCCGTGAGCAGCGGTAAGTGGTAGATCTAAATAGCTTGCCGTTTGAACGGTGAAGGATGTGCTCTTTGGTGGCTCAGTGGTTAACGCCTCGCGCTCACGATAAAGAGGACCATAGTTCGTTTCCGCGCGCTGGAGTCTTCCCGTTCTTTTTTTTGCATTTTCATAAATATAGGTACGTGTACACATACGGTGAGTGACACCGACGTCGATGCTGACGCCGGTGGCAATATCCAGCCGAGAGTGTTCATATAAGTGTTATCGCATTAAAACCTGAGCAGTTGCAATTTCGGTGCCTTGGTCTGGTGCGCAGGTACACTAACGCAGACAAGGAAATACGTGGTATCCCTCGTGCTGGAGGAGGATTGCCGATTGTGAAGCACAGTCCCAGCCACTCTGTGAAAAAGGTGAGATGAACGAGCAAAGTGAAAGCCTCAACTGACTTGTCAGACACAGTTGTTGAAGAGCGCGGTATGTGCCGCAGAAATGAGCGTGACTTATCTGGCATCACCATAAAAACAAGCTTCAGTCGAAATCAACCTCATGAATTCGGCAAGGCACCTTAGTACGTGTCAATGGTTAAAACTTGTTAGAGAAAAGCTATATACAGGTGTAATGTCGGGCGCGGAGTCACTTTGAAAATCTCATATTGCGTCGTAGAAGCTAATGTAACACATATGTACACTCTCGTTCCGCTCAATTAACTTGTTTGAGTGTAGTGTTGTTTCAACTTTCTTCTGTTACTAAAGTGTACCACCTGTTGAGCCTTTTTCTCATTAAGCCCAAAACTTTCGATGCCTCATGAAACATGACATTTCACCGTTGAAGACAACCGTTCGGCGGCGTCAGGGACAAGTGATTGAAAAGAATGATCATGTGAAGACGTCACCACTTGATGTCATTGTGATGCCACAAATCGCAATAATTTTTGAAGTCATCATGACGCCGAAAAGTCTAACGTGACATTGAATGACAACACATGATGCTTTGTAGTGACCTCCTCTGAGCGGCGAACAAAACGTGCGTGCGAACAAAACAAAGCGTCGGACTTCAAGAGAAGAGAGTGAAAACGAGCCATGGCTTCACGGCTCGTGTTTGCGGCTCAGGTTATGCCCTAGAGCTAAGGCTCCACGTAATTCACACTGCTTAGTGGAAAGTAGCGGGTTTTTTCTCTAGTTGCATAAACATATTTAGTTTTTTTTAGTTCACTTGTTTCAATGATGAAGACCAACCGAAAGTCTTTCAGCGGGTCGCATATAAGGTGGAAATAATAAGCGTTGTGCGACTGAACTAGACGCACATCTGCTCAAGCGTTATCGTTCTAATTTTTGCGAAACTCGTTCACGCCACGTCACACAACCTAAAAACCCAGCAATGTGCAAACTGCTGACCACGAGAAACAGCAAACTATGGCAGCATAGTCGCCGCAATTCATACGCGCTTTCTACATCGACTCACATCATACCTTCTTGTCGAGGCACAGCTGGCTGAAGTTTAGGATTCTCGTAACGGCCTGTTCCTACGAGCCAGCGAAGGTCTCTCTGGAATTTGTTCACGTAGCCGCAGAGGCCATCGGTGAATGTGCAGTGGGCAAGATGGCGGCATGGCTCTGGCCTCAGAACGACGTCGTCTAGGCTGATTGATGTTGGCCCACTCTCTGGAAACGTTGCGCGGAACACGACCTAGATAAAAGCAAGAGGGAAGTAGTGAGTGGACAATACCAAAAGAAATACCGTAATGTTTGTTTCTACCTTATGGTGGAGCAACTCAGTTCAAGATATATATTTCTTAGTGTTTCGCAGCGAAGTGTATGATTTTTGTTGGTCCTTTGCGTTTTTTTTAAACACTTAGTGTTTTTCGGGGAGTAGTGAAAGAATGATTCACCACTTTATTTCGTAGCGGAAGACCTAATGAACGCAAATGAGTAATGAATTAGACCCTGCGTAGTGTATTTGTGCGCGCGCGCGTGTGTATGAGAGAGCGCGTGCGTGCGTGCGTGCAAATTTTCCGTGAAGGAGGTTTACCACAGAGGGATGACAAGAGCGGAGGTGGTGGTGGCAGCGGTGGACAACCAGGTCACCACAATTGGCTATTCGATCATTCCAGCGACTATATGCGGCGCGACGGTAGGTCGAAATGGCGGACGAGACGATGGTGCTGAGGCGATCTCGCAAGTGTGCGCGTCTCAGGCAGCAAAGCTCGCCAGACCCTCTAGTTTCACTGCAGACCACACTTTCTCTGTCGAAAGAGACGCATAGATGTTTGAATGAAAACGAAGCAGCACCGGTCACAGTATTTGCATGGCCGCTTGATTAAAAAAAGAAAGAAAAGAAAAGGTGTGGCCTGTTGCATGCCACCGAAGCAGCGTCTCGAAACCCTCGCGCCTGCTCTGCATCACAGAAGCTTGCACTTTCCACTGGTATAAATTACAATTCACAAAAGCACTAGGAGGCAGGCGCGTAGACAGAATGTTTTTTTTTTTTGGGGGGGGGGGGGGCACTTTGATTTCGGGAGGGGCATCCCCTAGAGGCCATTTTTCGCTTTATATGCCATGGCGCAAAACATTTGCGGGGGAGGTGGGGGGTACCCCAGACTACGCCCTTGCTTGGAAGGTACTGAAAAAAACTTACCACATTGCAAATGCAATCACATATAATTCAGAGTGTACAAGAACATTCGGAGGCCTCAAATATCCCCGCCACGTGTGTAGTCCATAGTGCTCCGAACCTTTATCAAGCATTTCTCTTCCAAAAACCACTCAAACCAACGCTAGCACTGATCGTCATCCCGTTGACGCTTTTCGAAACAGTGCACCTGCAGCGGCGTCATACCTCGATTCTTCAAGATCGACTGACTCCATTACACGACTCACTGAAACCACTCGAACATCATAACTTCGTGGACGAGTTCACTACACCGTCCTACCACCTGTCTTCTTTGGATACTAGCCGATTTCGCGAACATTCCAAGTGATTGTAATGTTCACGCCCACAATCTCCTCACCGAAAAAGCGGGCGCAACTGTCAACAGCTTGAACGCGCTCGCTTATTGACGGCAGCACCACGCAGCAGCCCACATCTTCATATTCATCCAGCGGCCATGACATTTTCTGCGGCATCAAATCCAGCACAGACACCGTCATCAGTGAAGAATTCACTTGAATGCAGTCGTTGTGTGAAGGCATGCTTATTACTACCGCGAGACCGAGCTGCATACAGGACACCCACCGAACTGCATCGCTGACTTGTCACCGTGTGCCAGGTTCAGTGGAATGCTGCGTGGTGCCGCCTGCGTCGCTTGAATAACCGAATCTTCAATTGATAACAGCGCTCGCTGTAAAAATGTTGCAAAGACCTTACACGCCCCTATGCTGGGACTGTTTCTCTCTAGTACTCCTCTTTGAAATCACGACTCCAGTGAAAAGAAGGGCTCGTAGTGTGGTTTTATATAGAATTGTTGAATTTGGCGCCACGGTGTTCTATAAATAGCAGACGTAATCACCACTGGGAGGTCCATAAATGCAACTTGTTCCGAATTTTCGTTCTTGCAATGGAAAACCTTTCGAAGGAAATCAAGAGCGCACAAACAAAATGCTTGACGCTGTCATGCGTGGGTAGTTGTTCTCACCTTGAATTTTTTCTTCCGAAGGATTTCCGCTCGTGCAAGCATCCACTCTTTTCCAACGATCAGGGGCTGCTCCCACGCGACTTCACTTTTTCCGTTAGCCACAACTTCCACCTGTACCAAAAAAATGAGTTTGACAAAAACTTATCATTTGCGACAGAACACTTGGAGACAGTTCAGCGAGATCAAGAGAAAGAATGTTTTGTTAAAGATTGGTAAACAATCCTAAGCACGTCTTTTGCCACCTCCGCCAACTGCTGCCACCATAGAAAACGGGAACTAAGAGCTCCTCAAGTTGCCTAGAGCAGCTTTTTTTCTTGGTCGCTGTCTTTGTTAAAGAAACCCTACGATGGAAATAAAAAATTAATTAATATATAATTAATTGCCGAGGACATAGAAATTTTCTTTTTAAAAATGGTGATTTCGTCGGTATAGGTGTGGCGTAAAGCACACACTGTTCACATTACCTGTAAGCGTGCTGACATCCCTGCCGCCGACGAATACCAGAACTCCAGGCATTGTGGCTGGTTTTGCCCCGGCCATTCAGGACTGCTCACAACGGCGTCAGTGGATGAATCTGTGCTCTGCGTTGCCGTCAGGGTGTAAACTGCAAACGTCAAATTGCACGCAAGGAAATATCGCTATAGCCAGTGTTTTTTCACTGCGTTCCAGGCATGTGCCGTTTACAATTCCTCCAAAGAATATAAACTCGTATACGGAGTGCACGCATCGTCGCCGCTTTTAATATTTATCCCCCGAAACAGATTACTCTCTGTGCTTATTTTTCCTGTTGTTGTGGTAAATTCAGTTGCACCTTAAGGGTTCATCTTCACGAAGGCAAGAAACAATAATTTCCAAGTATCTCATTTTTAGAATATGTAAAGACATGTTACACAGTTATTAAAAAGTGGCTCTCTGGTCAACAGTGACTTGTGGCGCGTTTTCGTTACGAGCGACCAAACTCTCGCAAAAATAAAAAAAAAGAATGAAACTATAAAAGTTGAACATTACTATCGCATCTACACCGCACTGTAGCTATAGAAAACACTCGTACACAAACTACAGGCAGAAGTTCAATTCGGCAAATCCAGATTCCATGACAATTTTCCTTCAACAGCTGCAAATGATGGTTCCCGCTAACTGCAAAGTTCTGTCTTATATGCAAACGCAGATGTAAAGCCCCTCGTTTCGCTTACTAATGACGAGCGCGCAATGCATATATTTTCTCGTCGGGGATGGGTCGTTACTCGGCGAACACTTTAGGACGCAGAATTTTTCAATTTATGTTCATAACTGATTTTTTTAAATATGTGGGGTTCTACGTCCCACAACCAAGTTATTATCATGAGACACGCCGCAGTGGAGGGTGGCAGAAATGTGGAGCGTCTGGTGTTCTTTAATGTGCACTGACGTTGCACGTACAGTACATAGGCCTCTACTATTCTGCCTTCATCGGAATGCGACCGTCGCGGCCGGGATGGCTTGAACGTTTTCGAATAAAATATAAGTTGATATAAAAGTAAATAATTTGCAAATGTAACAAAAAGTGACGTGTGTAATAAATTTTTGTTTTACGTGTTGCATTCTGCTACAGAAAATTGTTCTCCCTCCTAAAGAAATAATACAAGCAACAAAGTGACAGTAAAGTAAGTAGGTTGAAGTACCTGAGTTGACAGGACCAGAAGACGAGTCGAGGGCTAATTGCGCGCTTGATTTTTGTTCTCGCTGCCACCCACTCTCAATCGTCCAATCACAAGTGTCGAATTCAAAGTCGCAGTACCCTGCAATATTACAATCACTCATCAGTATAACGAATAATACTCTTGGTATTTAAAAAATTGTATACGAAACTCAAAGAAACATAGTATTTGAGGTTTTAGGAGCCGAAATAATGACATCATCACGAAGCGCACATGCAGTGGAAGGCTCTGCAAATTTTAACAATCTGGCGTATACTTAAACGTGTTCTGATATCGAATGGTACGCAGGCATATGGCATTCCACTCATCTAATTGCGACCGTCGTAGCTCGAAAGTCACATTTACCGTCACACCCTCGTAACCGCTACATAATTGCTTTGGTCACCATGTCATGGCACCACGACACCATGGCAATTTGAACTCCAACTGTGGGTTGGAGTTCAATTTAGACATTTATGAACAGTCACAACTAGAGTGGTCGACTTTTAAACCAGAACTATCACTCGGCTGACATATGTTACGTCCAGGGAGAATTAGGAGCACGAAAGCAAAATAACTTACCACGAGCATCCGTAAGCACGTCACATTTTCCCGTAGTTAAGCTCAGAGGTCCCAAAGACAACTCGACTTCACTGTCGGCAGACTGTCCACTTGATAGGACGAATACGAGCTGCGCAATAGATAAAAAAAATAATATACACAACAGCCCATCTTGTGGTTCTTTTTTTCACTTTTTTTAAGTGTTATACGTGATTGTATGGAGTAAGCCAACGCCTCCTCTAAACAATGCCTGGGGAATGGCTCAGCAGGTTCCGGCCCTCACAAGGGAACACGGTATGCTACAAATGATTAGATACGTGCAGTTCACTTCTGCGTGCTAGTAAGTTGAAGTTACTGAAAAAAAAAGATTTCGAATTGAACTCGCAAAAATTATAATAAAAATGGTACCACGTGGATTCGAACCCATGCACTTCAAAACTACGGTGAACTCTTCGGAGCGACGCGTCAGACCACTCGGCTACGAAACCTTTTTTTTTTTTCTTTCTTTATTGCCTGTTTACATACAACATTCACAAACATATATACATCAAACAAAGTAGAAACATGAAACAAAAAAAAGAGGTAAAAAGCATCATATTTAACAGGCTTTTTAAAATTCTTTCATCTGTAGAAGGCTTTCTACTTGATGAAGCCATTCGGGCACCTCTTGTTGAACCTTCTCTGCTTCCACGAACGAATAGAAAGATTGAAAGAAATATTGCCTGACCGGACGTGCATTAACATCAGCATGGCACACCGCCATTCTAGATTGCCATATAGCGTGCAGGCCCAGTAACATAACTAGGTCGAAAGGTATTCCTTCTTCATTTGATACTGGTAGAAATCTGATGCCATAGGCATCGAGAGGCAGATCCTTTTTCAAAGTCCTTTGGAGAACATCCCAGAAAAAGACTGCATCCCAGCAGTCCAGGAAAACATGTTCAATTGTTTCCGGCTTTTTGCAGAGAAGGCAATCAACACCCCAAGGAACGAATAAGCCTTTTTCTTGCATCCATGTTTTCACAGGCAAGGTCCCAGTGTGCAACTTAAAGAAAAAGGATTTCGCTCCAGGTGTTACCTCCATTTTTTTAACACGGCTTAAGACATTTTGGCCTGGGCCTACACGGTATAATGCTCTATATAGGGGAACAGGAAGAACTGTTTCTACTAAATCTTTGTATAACTTTTACGCGAAACCGTACTGAGGTATTCCAATGAAAAACGCGTTTTTAGAAAGAGACATGAATCAACAACTTCTTTTAAGAAACCTCTAACACTTACTTTCATGTGAACAGATGCTACCACAAATTCTGGCAACCGTCTTCCAAGCCTAAGCTGTATAACAATACGTATGAATGGGTCTCGATTATTTCGGAAAAACATAAACCGATTAACTAACTGACGAAGGTACAAATGACACAGACCAAGTCCTCCAGAGCGAACCCGTCTGAATAAGTTAGTTCTACTTGTTCGCTCCCAAGAAGAACCACACAAGAAAACAGCAAATATTCGATGAAGCTTCTGTAGATTCACACGTGAACAATGCATTACCTGAAGGACATACCAGAGCTTACTGACTAAAAATACGTTACAAAATGTCGCTCTGGCGAAAATTGACAGCTGGAAACCATTGAGTTTTTCAGCTTTTTCTCGTAGCTCCACAGCCTGACGCCGCCAGTACGGTTCACTGTCACAATAATATTCTAATGGCACACCTAGGTATCGTACCGGAGTAGTAGTCCATGAAATACCAGCCACAAATTATGGAGTCACAGGCCATTCGCCGTGCCAGTAACCCAGGCACTTGCTCCAGTTTACCAAACTACCACTTGCATTACAATAAAGGTTCACAATTTTTATGGTTTCAGCGATACTATCATAATCTTTACAAAACACAGCTATATCATCTGCGTATGCCAGTACCCGTACTTCAGCTTCTTGTAGTTTGTACCCCACTATGTTATTGCTTTTCATGACTTTTTGGCAAAATGACTCTATATAAATTGAAAATAGGAGGGAAGACAAAGGGCAGCCTTGTCGTACAGAACGTCTGACATTAATTCGTTTCCCAAGAACTTTGTTGATGATTAGCCGAGTTTTACATCCAGTATATGCCATTCAAACTGTATCTCGAATTACTTTGCCAACATTGACATAGTCTAACAAAATAAAAAGAATTTCGTGCGGTACTCGGTCAAATGCTTTTTCTAAATCTATCTGGATCATCGCGATGTGATCATTTGTGGCATCGCAGCACTGCAATACACTTCGTGCCTTGTGAATGTTTGTGAATATAGTGCGCCGTTTGATCCCACATGTCTGGTGGTCGCCTACAATGTTATTAATAACTGTCTGCAGTCTCCTTGCTAGCACTTTCATCAAAATCTTGTAGTCGAATTTTGAGAGACTAATTGGCCTGTACGATTTCACTTCACGTAATTTAACTGCGTCCTCAGTTTTTGGTATTAAAATAGTATGAGATAGCAGAAAAGAAGGTGGCAAAGTCTTATGTCTAAGGCTTCGTTAAAAACCGCTGCCAGGATCGGTGCTAGTTCGTGTTTGAATTCCTTATAAAATGCGGCTGTTAAGCCATCAGGTCCTGGGGACTTTCCCAAATGGAGGGCAATTATTGCTTTTGTCACTTCCGGTTCAGAAATAGGACATTCTAGGCTGTCTTTCCTGCAGTCCTCAACCTTTGGCATTAATTTTAAAAATTCATTCTTGAATTCATCTACATTTACTTTACATTTATCAAATAAAGTGGTGTAGTACTCGTTGAAAGCATCCTCTATATATCTTTGTTCACTTGTAACGTTACCCATGTATTCAATCTGATGTATAACATTCCGCTGAGCGTTTCGTTTTTCGAGACCAAGCATTCTTTTGGTCGGTTTCTCTCCTACGGTCATTTTCTCTGCCCTTGCCCTTATTTGTGCGCCACGATACTTCTCCTCATCAATTTGTTCCAATTTGGACTTTACTGACCTTATATCATTTGTGAATAAGCCTGGCGTTTTGCTGTCCTCTGCTAGCAGTTCTTTGATATTTAAACGTAGGGTTCTTTCTTCTTCACTCTTTCCGTGTTTTATTACACATGAGCGTTCTATAGCTATCAACTTTATATTCTGTTTAAATTGTTCCCACTTGACTCCGTATTTTCGGTCTCCACTATCTATGTTTACCAACGCCTATCGAACACTGTCCATAAATTTTTCATCTTCCAAGAGATTAGAATTCAGCTTCCACGTGTCCCAGTTAAATACTGGTCTACGTCTATTCCTTTTACCTATTACAAATGATACTAAGCAATGATCACTAAATGAAATAGGGAGGACATTGTACTCACTGATAATCGGAATTAAATCCAGTGATACGTAGGCCCTATCTAGGCGCGCATGACTGGAGCCTTGGAAATGCGTATACAGTGTTGGTCCTTTACCAATACACTCTGCAACATCCTCAAGGTCTAGATCAGAAATTAGATTCGTTAACGCGACTGTGCTTCAGTCGTTGAAATTGGATGTACTTGTTTTATCATCGGCACTGATCACACAATAAAATCTCCCATAAGGATGACTATGCGATCGCATTCACAATAACTACGAATTTCATCGAATGTTACACACCGTTCATCAACTTTAAGAGGTGCATATAAACAAATCACTCGCCAATTAAAAAAAAAGAAGGTCAAATCACATACAACAAACCTTCCGGATGAGTCAGACGTGACGTTTTGAACACTGGCACCTAAACTATTCCGCACAAAGATCACACACCCTGCCGACCTACCAACTGCATGACTGACGCTGGCGGTGTGGCGTCCGGTGAAACGTTGCAGTAGGCTCTCGGTGGCGCCCACGCTCTCCACTTTGGTTTCCTGAACTGCAATAATGTCCAGGTCTTGGTCCATGGCTAGTCTGTAGAGCTGATTCTGTTTCTTCCTGGAAGCCAGTCCTCGTATATTGAGCGTCGCTGCTTTCACGAACCCGCTCAGCGACGTGATCGGTGAGCGGGTCCAAGCTGAGAGCCCTGCACGTTCACTTATTGGGCTCTCGTCGTCCAGGGCGGATCCATGTTGTTCACCTTTAGTTTGAGCGGCCATCGTCGCGTTTTAGCGACGACGACCGTTGGCGGGCAGCGTTTCGTTTCTTGCCTCCACTGACCACCTTCCACTGCATTTCCGACTTTACTTGCGTTTCGTCTACTTGAGCACCGTCGTCTGAATCGCGACGGCGTTTTGCAGACGCCGATTCTAATTCCATGTTTAAGGTATCCAGATCACTAGGCAAATCCTCATTTTCGTGTGTTTTGTTCGCCAAAGAGTGCTGTGAAGCCGAGTTTAGAGGAGTCGAAGCAGCGTTGGCCTGGGACGCCGGCGTTTCAGGGCGCGTTGCTTGCAGCTGCGACGCGGCGTGCATCGCAGGCGCAGGACGCGTCTCTTCGCTAGTCGTTGGGGCCGCTTGACTTCCCATCTTCCGTTCGGCGTTCGTGTCCGGGGCTGAAGAAACTTGCTTGCTTTTCCCCAGCACCGGCGTGTCGTCCGATGTCGTCTGCTTCTGTGGTATCGCAGGCAAAGACGCTTGTTCAGATTCCTCCTCATCCATGAGAAGTTCACTCTGTTGAGTCTCTGGTCGTCGCCCTGCAGCTCGTGCGTATGAACGGTTACACTCATCCTGCTCGTGACCGAAGGAGTGGCATTCGCTGCACCTTGGGACCTTACAATCGCGTCACATATGCCCCGTGCTTCGGCACCGCAAGCACAAAGGCGGTCTTCCCGGCACCACGACCAGTGCCGTACTGCTGCCAATACGCACCTGATGGGGCAGTTGATCCACAGAAACGCCATCTCGTAGTTGCATGCGTATTACACGAGTGGTCGATTCAACTCCTTCAAAATCCTCGACTCTCCATCGGTCATCGGTCACCTCCTTGACGTCGCCGTATTCATAGAAGGCACGTCGAATAGCGTCTTTTGTAACATCGAACGCTAGCCAGTGCAATTTCATTTTAGCTTCTTGCCGCGTTGGGTCAATGACAAGACATACCCGGTCTTTAACTTTGATAACGCCTGCGTCTGTCAGCGCTTTCTTTGCTTCCACGGTCTTCATGTTCAATAGCCACACGTGCGAC